AAAAAAAAAAACCTTCGAAGAGAGAGCCTAAGTTCGGTTTACTGGAGGTCAAAATGTTTCAGCAGTTTAAGAAGCCTCCAATATCAATTTCCTCACCTGACTACCTTGAGACATGCGCAATATCCAGTTATCTTCAATATCAGTAAGTTCCACGATTAGGTTACTCTTGTCGTTGTACATTTTGAAAGGTTTTTCTCCCAACAGCCCTGACTTAGGTAAACCCTGCTTGCCTTCCTCTTTCAATTTCTTGTAAAGGCAAAATATGAAAATTAGTGAGTTGTGCGCACGCGTGTGGGCGTTGAAATGGTTCTCGCAATTTAGTCAAAATTTTATTTCCCTCACCTCATTTTGCTTTATCCGACCACGTGTGTACAGAAGGTAGGCCTTCCTTTTCAATCTTTTTTTTTTCTCATCTATCTTTATTCACATTCATAAAGATGAATAGCTTCTGAACGTGAATTTTAAGTATGGTGCAATGCAATTTAGATGCTGCCATCCAAATTTTTGTTCGCCTACACGAGCTAAGCCAAATTAGTTTCTAAAGTCACGTTTCGCCACATTCACTCAATAAATTTTTCTTCGAAACGATAGGTTTTTACAAGGTTTTCTCCGGCTTGCAGTGTAAAATGTAACAAGCCTAGCTACCTTTTATACGCGGTTACTATTCTAAGATAAGGGCGTTAGGCTCGCGCGAGGTTGGGACGACTAATTACAGGGAGTCTACATCTCAGTGTGTGAGGAAGTGACTGATTTGCATATTTGGTTTAAGTTAAAAAGGACCTCTACAAAACTTAATCATAAATAAGACGAGAAAAATAAATATAAAGATACAACGAGGCGAAAAACACACCAAATGCTTAGGGAATACACGAAACTCTCGTTGGGAAAAGGTTTACTTTGAATCGAAGCAGGAATAGAAATACTACAAAATCGCCACATAAACAGATATTCTTCTATTTAAACAATGACTTACCCGCTCAGAATCTTTGCCATCATCACAAATGTAAAATCTCAAAAGAATGATTTTACTTTCAGGATTTGCTGTACTCGCAAACACCATTGCTATTTTCTTCTTTGACCGTTTGTCTAGCCGATTTACGCTGTGAAAGGTGATCACATTTTAAGCTCAACTTATTTCTGTTGGTAGTTTTTAAGACTTGCTTTTTCGGTCTCTGATGTAAATTTTTTTTTATTGAAACTTACAAATCGTTGCCGAAAAAGTCATGTAAAAACGATAAATAGCTAGGTGAATTAGACATGTTAATTTAGTAATGAGTCCAAAGAATATATATTCATTAAAAATTAAATGCGGTATAGACCTCAGCGTTCACTATGGAGTTATGGATGAACGCAAGAGGTTACTAGGAACAAAATAAGCGTAAGAGTCCCTCTACGCGATTGTCGAGAGCGACTCTAACATCTTGAGTGCTAAAAAAACCTCCCAAGTGCATCCATAACTCAATACTGCACGCTGAAGTGTTTACTATTTGTTTAACAGCATAAAAAAAGAAAAAATTCTTACGAAACACTTGCTTACTGGGAAATATTTGCTCACGTCAGCATTGTACATCCATGGACAAAAATGGGTAAATAGCAGACACTGAGTCGAACAATCAGAGCGCGCGCTTTATGTGATTTATGTCATAACATTCCTTTGTTCGATCGTTTTCCCTGTTCCATTGACCGATTTTTCGTTGTAATTTCATTCCTTCGTCCCTTTGTTCGCCTCAATGCCTTGATACCTCCGAGCCTCCGGGCCTCAATCTTATCTCCGTTTCTTCGCACCGTCGCCACTTAGTTCCTCGGTACCTTCGCTCATCCTCACCTTCGTTCCTCAGTAACTTCACTACTCTGTACCTTCGTTCCTCAGTACCTTTGTTCTCTTTTTCAACCTTACCTTTGTTTCTCGTTAACTTCGTTCCTACGTTTTACTGTTTCTCCATACCTTTGTTACCCCGTAGCTTCGTTCTTTCATACCTTCATTCCTACTTACACATTATCAATGTTCCTCCGTACCTGAGTTCCTTCGTTTCTTCGTTCCTCCCTAACTTCGCACCTTGGTACTTCCGTACCCTTTTTTCCTTCCTGCCTCTTTCCTCCCTCCTTCCTTATTACTTTCGTTACTATGTAACTTGTTGATTCCACTGTACCTGCATACCTTCCTTCCAACTTAATTTCCTTCCCACGTTTCTCTAATCCCTGTCGTGTTTACATGAAGTCATATAGTATTGAAACATTATGTACACTAATATTATTGTACAAAGGCAGCTCAACGTACGGTAAGCAAAGTAAGTACTCAATCGCTAACTCACCATAGAGTCTTGCAACGCAAATATAGTGATGGACCATTGTACCAACAGCAACACAGCATTATAAGACCAGCGAGGCCACCAACCACTATGCCGAACCAAAAGAGGACATAATCATAATAACTAATGTAGGAACCTGTGAGGAATAGAAGAGTATGCGTGAGTCATTTTAAAAGTCATTGCACGTATTATGGAAAATACTTGTCAGATAAATATATAGAACCTTCTATAACTATTAGTAATGCTGATACGTAAACCGTGGAACTTCCCTAAACATTTTATCACGTAACGTACTTATGATATTATAATAATACCAAGATAGTTTTTTATTAAGCTTCCAGAATGTTCTAGAATACTTTATAAGTGAAGGACTTGGTGGAGTAGAAGTAGCAGTTGCTGTCATCGGGAGTGACCAGCTGTTAAGGAAGCTACACCAAGAGAGAGCTACCGTGAAAGATTGTTGATTTCGAGGAGATTTGGAAACAACTGTGAGATTGTGTCAGTGGTGAGCTAAGATATAGACTATAGTGGGTTTCAATTTCATCATCATCAGAATTCTGATTAAGTACATATACAATTTCTTTGTAAGATAATTTGCCAATGCAATTTTCCATGACTTTTTGCTTTTGTTTAACGTAACCTGTCATCTGTCGACATCAAAAGTAAACGTTTGGGCGTCAACTTCAGGTGGCAAGATTTTATTGAGTTTTCCCCGTTCTAAAATTATGCAGATATTTTTAATGAAAACAATTGATAAAATATTATTTATGATTCGTCTGGGTCTGAAAATTCCCATAAAAAAGTACTGGTTTTGATGAGTTGAAAAAAAAAAAAAAAAAAAAAATCAGTTCGTTCACCCCAAAGACAAAGGAGAGAGTGAATTCTGATTCTACCAATTATACTTTTTCAAGCTTTTTTGCTGAGACCGCTTTTCCAAATATCTATGAAGTTAAATTCAAGCTATAAAATTCCTGTGCGCCTTCTTGTTTATTTATTTATTTAGTTTTTCATCTGCAAGAAACATTTAAAATAGTACGCTTTCATGATGAATGACACTTTGTCATTTACAAAATAATGACAACTCACATTTGGCGTGAAGTTTATGCACATAACTATCAGGTACCTGAGGGTTTTTGCGAACGTTTGAGTGTCTGGATGCTTTCGTATGCTGTGATACCCAGAACATCTTCACTGTTGGTGTTGTATGTATGTACTATTTTTCCTGACATGGCATCTAGTTTGACCACCTGTTTATGTACATTCCGGTTGGTAACAAATAGGAATGGGGAAACCAGTATCACTCCGAATGGATAAAGCCAATTCTGCTGGAGAAGCAGCTTTCTGTTGCCACCATCGTAATCAGCTGATTCCACACGGTCTGATTTTGCATCCACCCAGTAGAGACGCCTATTTCCCCTGTCAAGATCAACATCGTTGGGATGGTGAAGATGTTTTGTAATGATGGCAAGTCTTTGCTCTCCACTCAACGTAGCCCTTTCGATTTTTGGATAAGTTCCGCAGTCAGTCCAGAACATTAAGCTGTTAACATAATAAAAATAAAACGAGAGCCAATAGTCATGTTGGGGCAGATCGCCCATCAAATTTACGAAGTCATTAATAAGTACTGTTGTAGCTTGTGCAAGTCTTTCCACCAGCTTCCACAAACTGATAGGAGCAATAACTCGAGCGCACGAAAAACAGGGGAGGGGTCGCCGTTTGTTACACTTCTGCCCTTTTGTTTTGACAGCCACCGACAGCCTAGACCAGATTAGTGCTTTTTAATCTACATTAGATAAAATAAACATTGTTTAAGAGCAAAAAAAAATAAGTTTGTTTTTCCTTACTGCTTCGAAAATGGAATTATGGCGAGGAAAAAAGCTGTGTCCCCGTGAGGAAAGGCAATTCGTGCGACTCAGGCAGCTAAAGGAGGGGGAAAATTATTATTCCATCTTGGGAGTTAGGAAGCTAAAAAGAGACATTTGATAACGTACCCACTGTCAGGATCAACAGCTATTCCCTGAGGTTTGTCTAAACCTGTAAAGTTATGTAAATATCGGTTGTTTCCATGTAGGTCTGATACGGATATTGTAGCATATGTTACATCAGTCCAGTACAACTTAGATGCCCTCCAATCCACTGCCAGACCATTACAGACTCCTATGTTGGCAATTATTATTGTCATGTGTGCGATTTCTAGATTGAAACGTTTAATGTTCCTCTCTATTGCATCACTCCAAAATATGTAGCCCAGGTTGAAGTGAACATCTAAGGCTACAACTCTTGATAAACCGGACAAAACTGGTTTGATAGTCGAAGTTTCATTATAGTCGAGAGAAACGATGTCTGATGCATTTGAGACCAGCAGAAACGGAGGACTGTATTTCTTGGCTTGAGAAAAAGAAAATGAAAGAGCAAATAATAAATGGCTTTGTCTGAGATGATTATGCATTTTATTCCAATTTGCTTGGAAATAAAAATAGCACAACATGGAAAATGATCTAAGCCTTTGAAAGCCTTTTCTACAAAGCGAGCGTAGAATGCCAAGTTTAGCTTCAGACTTCTGCAAACAGCGAACAAAAAGTAACTACTGTAACCGTATTTTCTCAGTAAAACGTAAGGGCCTTTTTTTAAGATTTTGGGTAAAAGAAGGGGCGTTTATTATGCGCTTAATCCA